GATGAGGGTTCCAAGTCGTCTTTTATTTCCTGAAGCAAATTAAAAATAACATGGCTTGGCAAATGATATTTTCGTGTTCTTCTCTCATTCCAAATAAATTATGTGTGGAAAAAAATCCTCTCCCTTCTACCACGCACTCTCTGTTCTCTGCGGTGCCTCATCCTAGCAAAAAATTTGCAGCAATTTCAAGCGCAAAAATAGTTTAAGACATGCTTTTTTTGGGTCGTTAAATAATGGCGCAAATACCAGTAATTTGACGAGCGCAAAAGTTAGTTAATCTAGTTGCGTGATTCATTTGAATGCTCTCCTCCCATAAATATTGCGTCTGAAAGGGAAACTCCTACAAATGCATATTCAATAAGGTCAGGTGCAAAAATAACGCCTTTTCGGCGATAATTCATCACTGCGCTTCTTTAGTAAATCCTGACAGTACTATTTTAACGCCAAAAGACAGTTTGTGCTGGCGCAAGCTGTTAGTAAAACTGGCCCTATATCTGATTTGAAGCGTGTGACAAAGTATAAACACGCACATCAACCTGATCACTTTATTTAGCGTTCATTTAACACTAGGTTCGGATTCATCAATCGGGTTGATTTCGTTCCAAATGAAACAAAAGGTGTCCATAAACATGGCTATTGTGTACTCTCTGTTGGATGTTTATTGTGTGTTCTTTTCCAAGACATGCCCCTTAAGTATGCAAGTTTCTATCACTGACATTAAAGGCTTGTGAGAAAAACACTAGGTATATGCAGAGACATTACCACCAGCCATCATCTTGTCCTTGGCACCTGGATGGGTGGTAACTGTGCTGCCATATGCGATACCGTGAGCCAAGAGTGCCGTCGGGCCTGCATCAGGTCAGAAAATTTCATTAAGTTGGACAATTTCACCTTATAAAAGCAGAAAAGTTAAAAAAAATAAAATAAAAAATCCTGTGACTCTTATTTGTGCTGTTTGCAAAGCTAAGCGTCACTATACTTGAGTAAAGGATTTGAACAAACCTGTATGGTGTGTAAAACTCCAATCACATTTTCTTCAGAAAAATGTGCAAACCTAGTTATTTTTAATATAAAACTCTTGCTGAAGTCAAACTGTGCATGATTCAGTGCCAGTGCCTGGAAGGAGTAAAGTGACTTTTACATGGTGTAAATCATATCGCTATCAGCCAAACATCAATATACTGTTATCTAAAATAAACCAGGTATACAATTTCCATCTAATTCTGCAATCTGTATTGGAAGAAGGAACGGAAGAAAGTAAAAATAGGGATCTAAAAATAACAGGGTTTTGCTGCATTCTCATTGGCAGTGCCCTGGCTGTGCACTGAGCTCATCTGAACATTAATGAAAAGAGAGCTCTTAACTATTGATTGTGCACCCTGGCAGACGCCCAGTGCGGTCTTGTGATTACACTTTCTCTGGCAGGACGTTTACTGACCGATCTAATCCTTGCATCTACTGTTACGGGTCTTGCTTGTGAAAAGCTCAGTCCACAAAAGGAAATAAAAGAAAGGCAAATATAATAGGCCTTTATGCCCCAATTACAGTCTTTTGTTCCAGAACATTTAACAGTAACATATAATGTAAGTAAATATGCCTTTAAATTTCACGTTGATTAACAATTCTCGTTCCTGTGTTCAAGTATTTTCTATTGAAACAGGAAGCAAAAAATAATATGCTCAAATAAATAATAAACAAAAAGGGGGGGGGTATTATTATTATTGTTATTATTATTATTATTATTATTATTTGTAGCCACTAGTCTTTGGTTATATCATAACCCTTCAAACCCATGGTTCTCTTCTTTCTATGGCTAGTCATTGGCAGGTGGCATTAGAAAAAGAAGACATTTCTATTCTAGAAAACTTTATTGGACAGAAAGGTATATGCCCCTGGTCAGCAGATGTCATCAGTGATATTTAAGTATTACTGAGTACTATTAAAGTTTTTATTAATATTTTAAATTTGTTTTTATTTTACATTCTTTGTTATTATTTTAATTTTAGTTAAAGTTTTAGCAATTTTGTTAAGTGTTTGTCATTTTATTATTATTTTTATTAAGTGTGTATACTTCAGGGTTTACAAAAAAGGTTCACATATACATATATATATATATATATATATATA